AAGTTGCTTTTAGACAAAAAGTCGCTAAACATAGCAATAAATTGACAAAGTTGGCAACATTGATTCCCCTACGAGTAGCTTAACTCCCTCCATTAATCCACACTTAGCCACGCCCCCAATGTATCTTAGCTCCGCCCACTTTTGTGGAATTATTTAAAAAATGATCAGGGGGCGGAGCTAAACTAAACTTTCTCATGGGTGGTCAGTTACACTTTAACAGCATATTAACACTCTGATTGGTGCGTCTCTACCTACTGTACACTGCAAAAACATAAAATCTTACCAAGTATTTTTAGTCTAGTTTCTAGTGTAAATGTTTTAGTACACTTGAAAAAAGACTAAACTAACATAGTTTTTAGGATATAGTAGTTTGTTTTAAGTCAATAATACTTTAATATTGATTTTAAAAAAGTACTAGTTCCACTGGTAGATTATTTCACCAATAAAACATTTTTTGTTACTAGTTAAATAATCTAACAGCAGAACAAATTTTTTTTATTAAGGGATTATTTACTTAAAATAAGCTTGTATCTTACTGAAAAGTTACTTTAAAGTTAGTTTTTGACTGATTCAAAGTGTAGTAAGATATGTGCACTACAAACTAGACCAGAATACTTGGCAGGATTTTGTGTTTTTACAGTGTACTATTAGCTGTACACTGTTGGACTGACAGACTGAATGTAGACTGGAGATCATTTAGTTTGTTTTTTTTTTTTTTTCAAACTGAAGTGAATGTACGTCTTTCTCCAAAGAGACTGAAAACTTGCTCTGAAATAATTTCTGATATAATCAGCTTTCTGGAAATACCTTAGAAACTATTTTAAATATCCAATCCAGATATAAAATATTTAGAAAAACAGTTTCTCTTTAGTTTTAAAATGTGATTCTGTAGAAATAAATTTAGATTTCCTGTAATTTATTCTGTTTTTACCTCTGAAGGAAACTCAAACTGCGCCCAGCTGATGTGATGTCATCATGTTTTTATCATTATTTGTGTTAAACATCGTAGCTGATCTTTAGGCTAGGCGTTTAAGCTCCAGTTCTGACTGCACAGCTCTATTTATTCTATTGAATATGACGTTTTCCACCGTACGACCGTTCATTTTTAGCGAGCGAGTCTGGTGACAATGCAGCGCCGCCGCATTGGTTTTCCTCTGGAGATGCTTTGCATTTTGAGCTTTGCATGTGTTGGATTTATCCAGCTCTTCTTGTTTTATAGATCCAGATGCTACTTTTATATCGGTTGAAGCTCACGCTGATTATTTGTTCGTTGTGTGTTTGGGGGGAATCCAGATGTTCATGTGTGATTTTTCTGTTTGAGACGAGTTTTGAAGCCATCCTCTGTGGATTTTAAGATTAGTTTAATCTTAATAATGAAAAATGTGACGGATATTTTGGGAATATTTGGACAAAACAATTTGGTTGAACAACTTTAAAGAGCTAAACCCAGTTTTAGCAGCTGTAAAGTTTAAAGGAGGCAGATTTTAGTATTAGTCTCTACATGCCTGCTGCTGATCTGCATGTATAATTGCTAGAGAAAAACTAAAGTTGATTCTTTCTTTTTTTTTGTTGCACATTTTCAAACGTAAAAGCCTCATTAGAGGAAACAAAGCTGCTTGTGGATGTATATTTTTCAACAGTGAAACTCAAAAACATGTTTTTATTTCCGTTTTTGGGGGGGGGACAGAAGTTAAAGAGAAATGAAAGTGAAAATTTGTCTGAATTTATGAAATTAACTCCTGAAACTATAAGCAAAATGTAATTTTATTACAGAGACTTTATTTCTTTATTTCTTGTAATTAAAACTTAACAGCTACACTCACTGCGATTATTTACAAGAGTAGATCTGAAGTTTTTAGCCACAAAAGAAGAAAAATATTAGGAATTGTTTTCGTTTGCGGGAAATAAGCATTCAAATGTTAAATTATTATGAAAACTGCCGACATTTTGTTTATTTTCGGTTAGGAAGCAGGAAAACTTTCTCATCTTTTCTGACCCAACAGAATGAAATGTGTGCTGAACATGTTGACGTTTCTGCTTCCTCAGATCAGATTTAAGGAGGGAAACAGAAACACTGAGGCTTTTTTTCTCATTTGATCAATTTTAAGGACAGTTGATTAAATATCTGCACTAGTGAGCTGTAACTGATCAATGATTTTCAGTAGATATTGATGAAAAATGATTTATCATGTGATGAAGTAAATATTGAGATCATTAAAGTATTATTATACACCCTGTGCTGTACAAAAAAGCCTTTTTTATTTTCCAGATATTCTCTTATTATAAGAAGCTGCTGTAATCTGTCTGTGAAAAAAAGTAGATTCAAGGAACTTCTTCTGTTTAACAGCTATTGTTACTTCTGCTTCAAAGGGTCACTGAATGCAAGTACATATACAGAGCTGTGAAAAAGTATTTACACCCCTCATTTAATGTCTCAGGTCATCAAACTAGTGTTAATTTGAAACAAAAATAACCAAAAGTCAGTTTTCAAATGATTTTCTTATGTGAAGGAGGAATAAATAGAACCTGATTGACGACATGAAGTAGGTAAAATTATCAAAATTCACTGATCAGATTCATAATTTATTGATAAGAGAGAGAAAATTCAACCATCTGGTAGGTTTCACTGCAAAAACACAAAATTCTTACCAAGTATTTCTGTTTAGTTTCAAGTGCAAATATATCACTTCAAATAAGACAAAACTAATCCAGGAGTAACTTTTCAGCAAAAATATAGGAGCTTATTTTAAGTTAATTCTTTAATATTCATGAAAAAGTTCTAGTTGCACTGAGATTATTTCACTTATGGGAAAAATGTTTTGTTTTAAGTGAAATAATCTACCAGTGGAACTAAAACTTTTTCATCAATATTAGAGAATTATTTACTTACAATAAGCTGAAAAGTTACTCTTGAATTAATTTTGTCTTATTTCAAGTTTACTGATATATTTGCATTTGAAACTAAACAAAAATACATGGTAAAAATTTTGTGTTTTTGCAGTGTTTACATCTGAATGGTTCAAAAGAACAAAATAAAGACTTGGGAGTGGCCTAATCAAAGTTCTGACTGTGTTCAGGCGTTAAACTGGCCATTCATGCTGTAAAAACCTTAAGTGTTGTTGATTTAAAACTATTTTCCAAAGCAGAGAGAAACAGTGACCTAACAAACTGGTTACCAATAAACATGGTGGAAAACCAGTTACTGGGTTTGGGGTGTGATTACTTTTCCATGTTGGGTCAAGTTTGTTTGGAAAACCGTTTTCCCCTCAGTGAATAAAATCATTTAAAAACTGCTTTTTGCATTTACTCAGATAATTATTTCATGATTGGGACAAAAACCAGCAGGAATCTGGGGTGTAAATACTTTAGTTTGTAAACAACAGAAAATAAATAAAATGTTTTTACCCGTCAGGATGATGCAGGAACGCAGATCCATCCGAACCAGATCCTGTAAACATAGAGATTTATTTAAATCAATTACTAATAATCACTTAGCTATAAAAAAATTCAAATTTATTTAAAATCTACTATTTGAAGCTGGGAATATTCACTGAAAGAGGGTGTACTTTCTTTTTACTGTGCCTGTGAATAAAGGTTCACTTACTTCTCTGTTGGATTTGATCACCATGTTGAGTTCCTGGAGTTTGATGCAGCCGGTTTTTATTTAAAATCCCACAAATGCAGAGAAAGTTTTATAAAATAAAAAAACTCAGAGATTTAAAGTGATTTCAAAATAATTAAAAATTTTCAAAGCTGCACCTAATATGGACGGAAAGACGACAGCGTCTGAACAGAGGCAAAAACTAAAAATAAAAAATGTTTTAAAACAGAAATTTATGTTAAAAAAAATGTCCAACTGTAAAAGATTTGACTCGTAACGTCTCAGATGTTTCTGCAGGTTCACAAACAAAAACTTATCAAAGAAAAACAACAAATTCCCTGGATAAATATCTGGTTATTTTAAAAGCCACTCATCTTGACAGAAAAAAAAACTTGCATTAAACCAGCAATTATTAACTAAAATACACTTTTTGGGTCAGAAGAGAATAAACATTCGGTTATAGTTTGATGAGAAAAATGATAAATCTAAACCAAATTTTAGCTGAATTCCTGAATGAAAGAGGATTTAGGCTGTAGTTAGAGCATAAAGGAACATACAGGGGAGGAGTTGAATATAAAGCAGAGCTACAATATTCTAGAGAAATATTCAATCAGTTTCGACCTCTAAATGACCTTCAGACACACTTTAATCTTCCTGTTGGTCAAAAACAAAACATTTCCTAAATATAATTTATGAAAAGTGGAAAAAACGAGAAACTCTGTTTTTTTCTTTTCAAGTTTTATCTCAGCTGGAGCATAAAAACGTGACATTATGAACATTATTTCTTTACTCTGCATGCCGAAATACAACCAGATAAGACTTTGTTCATTTCCATTTATGCATAAACAATCTAAAACAGAATTAAGTCATTTAATATAAAATAAATTGCTCACATATAAGTATTTATTTTTTACTTTTAATTCTACTCATATGATAGAACAGGTGATTATGGTTTAATATGTCGCCCCCTTGTGGCGGTAGAGTTAAAACATCAAATTAAAACCTTTACAGGAGAAATCATTACGACAGAGTATCACGGCCAGGCAAAGACAGTAAACTACGTCATAAAATTACATTTATTCCCTTGACTTTATTCGTGTGATATTAAAACTTTATCTTCATATGACTATTCTCGTAAAATGACGACTTGATTCTCATGACTTTATTTTTCTTGGTATGGCCTTAGCACTCCGTCGCAGGTAAAATCTCAGCTGTGTGTTTTATTGTGTTATCAGTATTTGAGGTGATTTCTGACAGCAGGTGACTGATCATCTAAAGGAAGCGGCAGCGGCGCGTTGAAGGCGTTCGGCTCTCAGAGGTAGTCATCCTCGCTGGACGGCTCGTCTTCATCGTCACAGTTGTACTGGTACCAGTGACTGGGGCCTTCGCCGGGGTCGTCTCCGGGGTCGCCGCCGCTCGCCGTCGAGCTGTCCTCGGTCAGGTCGGACCCCGCCGAACACGCAGAAGGACTGCGGCTCATCCACCACAGCTGGTGGCCGAAGCTCCGCCCCCAGCTGCAGTGCTGACCAATGGGGCGCAGCAGGCGGATGAGCTCGGTGGCCTCCTGCCAATAAGACGTTCACTTACTGTGGCCCCGCCCAGAGCGCTGCTTGTTCATGTTGGTCAGCATCTGACTGATGTAGGAGGTCAACAGGTCGTCCATCTTGTAACCCTGGAAACGTAAAGCATCGATTTCAGTTGGTTTACGCCTGAATGAGCAGAGAGGCTCCATCGATTAGCTGATTACGCCTGACAGGCGATCAATCGACCAGATATTGGAAAACTGAAGCGCTCTCAGTGTTTCAGGTCCAGGAACGACTAAAGAGCAACTAAACCCCAAATCAAAGTTTTTTATTACAGATAAACTGTGTAAGTTGGTGCTTAATGGTTCTTTCTTTATGTTTCTGCGCAAATTGTGATATTTTTCTGTAAACTTATTTAATTCTGCAATATTTTGCCTAAACCCGTCTCAATGCTGCCCTCTTTGGGTTGAATGTGGCTACTGCAGTCAAATTCCTGCTTGGCCCCGCCCACTTTGGTAGATTTTTAAAGGTGACCTTTATGCAACATCAGTGTTGTATATTTTCATGCTTCCAATTTGGTTTCTTCTGCTTCTAAAAACAACCAAAGTGCTTAAAACAAACACCAGCTGTTTTATGGTGTCTGGAAAATGAGTTTCGAAAACCTTCTGGAATGTAACAAATCAGCAGGCACTGCCCGTTACCTAGCAACCACAGCAAAGCCCAACCTGTTACCTAGCAACCCAGGCTGAGCTCCAGCATGTTTGGTCAGCTGGGGGTGTTTTACCACCGTATGTGCTGTACAATGGCTGCTGGAAAATACAAGTGCTTTGTTGTTGACTTTACCATCCAGGAACCACTTGTTGCATTCATATTGGTTGTGCAGGAGGCTCTACTACTGTTTTTCAAATATGTACAGTTGTATAATTGCACATCTGTTTGCAGAAATTTTCATGTTTGAATGTTAATGTTGAGTTTGGGGCGTGATCAGCAGCAGCTAATTTGGACTTAAAGTGACAAAACGCCCTTCAACACCTCAAAATAGTTAGAATTTCATTATATATGAATGATTTTCAGCAGAAAATGTAAAGACTACGTTTTGTATAGACTGTAGACATGTTCCAACCTCTTCAAGGAAGCATTATTGGTCACCTTTAAGTAATTTTCTGAGTTCAGTAAAAGATGAAGCATGAAGCTAATTTTCAGTCGCCTACCAGTGAAGTCTCACAGAGCAGCTTGCTTCCTCTGACCAGGTTCCCTATGGTGATGTGGAAGTAGGTGTTCCCGCTGCTCCAGTTGGAGATCTTGGTGAAGGAATGGGTGGTCAAGATGTCCTGCAGAACCAAACACACAGCCTTTTTGGTTTTCCAGCTTTAATCATGTAAAAATTCAACCTCTGGAATCACGAAGCTCCTCATCTGAACGGTAAACGATCTGAAGACGAACCTTGGTCTTTGGGTCGATCAGACTGACTCCATGCTTGTTGATGGCAATCAGCAGAATCTCTGGGAAGTTCGGCTCCGTGGTTTGCTAAGCAGGAAACGCCATCGTGTGAAAAGGTGTGAAAATATATAAACTTTTTCTGTATTGATTTGTTAAAAATGTTACGACCTATGGAAATATTTGTTAACAACTTTGAAATGATAGTAAACAAAACATTTTGTTGCACGAACACTTGACACCAATTTAGTCTGATTTGGGTAATGTGGGTCGGAGCTGGTTGACCTTTTGACCTTTAAACTTTTACTAGTATCTTCAAAGCAAAAGCACCACAAATGAAAATCTAATAAGCAAAAACGTAGCAGAGTTGATCGGGTCAGAATTAAAATCAGAAAGCAGATCTGAGGAATCGACAGGCTTCGCTGCGTTTACCTTGACCTCAAAGAAGGCGGAGCCAAAGGTCGGCCATTTATAGATGATCTTCAGGAACATCAGCTTAGCCTCTTCCCTCGATTTCCCAGGCTGCTTGTTGAAGTACGCAATTATAGACTGCAATCACAATTCAGATTAAAAGTTAACATTTTATTTAACACTTAAAGCTGCAATATGTAACTTTTATAAAACATATTTTTTACTTTTTGTTGAAACTATAATCATGTCGAGACAGTTTGTTATGAGACAGATGATCTGTGAAAAAATGGAGCTTCTCCCAGGGCTAACTAGAACAACCAATCAGAGCAAGTAGGAGGGTCTTAGCGCTGTCAATCACAATCTCGTGTGGCGCTGCTCTGGGCTACACTGTAGTTAGCACAGAATGCTGTGAAAGCTAAGGCTAGTTAGCAATGATGACAGAACAACAGTTTTTCTGTAACTGTAAGTTGTTTTTCTCCGTTATTAGCACATTTAGCAGCGAGTACATGAAATTGATTGACAGCGCTAAGCCCCTCCTCCTGGCTCTGATTGTTTTTGGTGCATTTCTTCAAATCGTAGCTCAAAGAGTTGGTGTAGAAGATCAATCTTTATATTAAACTGTCACAACATGGTGACAGTTTTAACAAATATGTAAAAAAACATTATTTTTAAAGTTACATAATGCAGATTTAA